GTCCCTTGGGACCATGACAATAGTTTGGTGAATACAGATATTCAAGTGATCAGAGGTTAGTCGTAGATTGTCAAGTACTGACTATCTGTGTCCAGAATATCATATGCAATATGGAGGGGGGGGGGGGGGGGGGGGGGGTAATTCACTGCAATACTCCTAGCCTGTTCATAATTTACAACAGTATGTAACATAAACATGCAGAAAACGAGTTGCTATGAATGATGGGTGCTAACATTTAGTAGACATATAGATATAAACTATTGAACAGTCAATGCATACAGTCAGTAAAATGATGGAGAAAATCGGAATACTCTGAAACTGTTATGAGGACAAATATATCCGCCACGCTCTCATCTCTGGTAAATTGAATTTGTGGAATAACAGTAAGGATGCGAAGAGTCCTGACATAGACAATTTATACCTATGTGTATGTGTGATAAATTTGTTATAAACTTCTGCTTAAACTATTGGTAAACTATAAAACTTACATGGAGAATCATCTTTATTCATTTACCTGTTCCCTACCTCTTAGTATTGTGCTATTCCATACAGTGGTTAACACACAAACTTCCTGTTGAACAGCAGTTGATTTTTCTAACATCAAGATATGAAATTAGAAAACAAATTGATTAGGAATCTCCCAATCAAACACCCAAATTATATATCAGATGACAGGACAGGTATGTTACACCAGCAATGATCCTGTAATTATCTGTTGTTCTGCCAGACAACTGTATAAGCACAGGGGAGACAGATTGCAGCCATTTCCTTGAAGATAGATGCGTAGACAAAACCTACCCTACACAGATAAATTTTGGCAATTGTGACACCTGTTCAACGAATAGAAGTTTAAAATACTAAGGACATGAAACAACAAGGATAAAAATTAGTTGGAGAAATGCAGGAAATTAAATGAATAATGGTTCTGGGAACCTGAGGATAAATAACAAGGAATATATAAGGACACTGTTGGGACTCGGTCACCAGCTTGATGGATAGAGAGTATTCAAGGAATATGTGTTTGAGTATGTGGGGTTTTACTGTATATTTCTAGTACTAGCTCATAACAAAGTATGCATGTCTGCTATTTCGCTGACAGAGTCCCCAGTGTTGAGATGAAACTGACCATTCATCTGGTGTTGAGATACATTCACACAGTTTCCCAATTTCTGATTAATGCCCTGGTGTTGAGGTACAAATGGCTGTTTCCCTGGTGTTGAGGTACAAATGGCTGTTTCCCTAGTGTTGAGGTACAAATGGCTGTTTCCCTGGTGTTGAGGTACAATTGATGGTTTCCTTGGTGTTGAAGTAAAATTGATCATTTCCAGTTTTTGTGATACACCTGACTGTTCCTCTGACAGTTTCCCTGGTGATGAGGTATAACTGACAGTTTCCCTGGTGATGAGGTATAACTGACAGTTTCCCTGGTGATGAGGTATAACTGACAGTTTCCCTGGGGATGAGGTATAACTGACAGTTTCTCTGATGATGAGGTACAACTGACAGTTTCCCTGGTGATGAGGTATAACTGACAGTTTCCCTGGGGATGAGGTATAACTGACAGTTTCCCTGGGGATGAGGTATAACTGACAGTTTCCCTGGGGATGAGGTATAACTGACAGTTTCCCTGGTGATGAAGTATAACTGGCAGTTTCCATGGGGATGAGGTATAACTGACAGTTTCCCTGATGATGAGGTACCACTGACAGTTTCCCTGGGGGTGAGGTATAACTGACAGTATCCCTGGGGGTGAGGTATAACTGACAGTTTCCCTGGTGATGAGGTATAACTGACAGTTTCCCTGGGGGTGAGGTATAACTGACAGTTTCCCTGGTGATGAGGTATAACTGACAGTATCCCTGGGGGTGAGGTATAACTGACAGTATCCCTGGGGGTGAGGTATAACTGACAGTTTCTCTGGGGATGAGGTATAACTGACAGTTTCCCTGGTGATGAGGTATAACTGACAGTTTCCCTGGTGATGAGGTATAACTGACAGTTTCCCTGGTGATGATGTATAACTGACAGTTTCCCTGGTGATGAGGTATAACTGACAGTTTCCCTGGTGATGAGGTATAACTGACAGTTTCCCTGGGGATGAGGTATAACTGACAGTTTCCCTGGGGATGAGGTATAACTGACAGTTTCTCTGATGATGAGGTATAACTGACAGTTTCCCTGGTGATGAGGTATAACTGACAGTTTCCCTGGGGATGAGGTATAACTGACAGTTTCCCTGGGGATGAGGTATAACTGACAGTTTCCCTGGTGATGAGGTATAACTGACAGTTTCCCTGGATGAGGTATAACTGACAGTTTCCCTGACAGTTTCCCTGGGGATGAGGTATAACTGACAATTTCCCTGGTGATGAGGTATAACTGACAGTTTCCCTGGGGATGAGGTATAACTGACAGTTTCCCTGGGGATGAGGTATAACTGACAGTTTCCCTGGGGATGACAGTGACCCTGGTGATGAGGTATAGCTGACAGTGACCCTGGTGATGAGGTATAACTGACAGTTTCTCTGATGATGAGGTATAACTGACAGTTTCCCTGGGGATGAGGTATAACTGACAGTTTCCCTGGGGATGAGGTATAACTGACAGTTTCCCTGGTGATGAGGTATAACTGACAGTTTCCCTGGTGATGAGGTATAACTGACAGTTTCCCTGGGGGTGAGGTATAACTGACAGTGACCCTGGTGATGAGGTACAGCTGATAGTGACCCTGGTGATGAGGTATAACTGACATTTCTTGTAAATTAATTTTAATGTCTCCAGTTTTTTGTTATGTTTTCGCTTCCATCAGCAGGAAAACTGTTGGAAATGTTAGATTTATTGAAGCATATGTATACAAATTGGCAGTTTAGTCAAATCAATATACCAGGTGTGACAAGACAGTGGAGATATATATTGGCTATATCTGTCTCAGATGGTTTTTTGTATGATTTCCTGTGCATATAGTTAAACCTGCTTTTATATATGTAACTGTGTACAACTCCTTAGTCTTCCCAGTGAAAGCCTGCTGTACCTAGTGATTAGCTGTCACCAGCATCTCATCTCATTTGTATAGATTGATAATTTTGAACATTTTTGTTTGTATTGATTGATTTCCAATACTTTTTAGGTAGTGCCAGAGTAAATTATCTGCTCTCTTTATTGCTTTTGTTTCAGACCAATCAAAACCTACTGATCTGCCCTCCAAACAAGGGAAGTGTTGTTTGCATTACTCCTTTTCCCTTGGTTTATCTATAATTATTTCTAGCTTGTGTCCAGCTAGACCTGTCAAATGCACGTTGTTTTCAAGCCAAGCCGTCTTTTCCAGTTATTCCATATTGTACTTTTTTTTCCCGGCAGGTACCATCTTTCTGCATGTCAGACAGGCTGCTGCATATGTTTATTTCATGGTTTCTATGGATAACATTCTTGTCAAATCAATTATAAAAAATTAATAAAAATAGCTCAGATATAGATCAGATAAGATGTGAATTGTGCTATCTTTTCTTATTTTCTTTCTTATAGAACTGTTTTAGAGTGAGTTTTATCTTTTTCTGATTATAAAACGTATCAAGGTCACCTACAGAATGCCTTGAGTCATGATTTTAAATGTATTTCTTGCAGGATTATTTCAAAGACAATACATATCAGATTAGATTTTTAAAAATGTTATTATTAGAAACCTATTACTTTATTTGCAGGTATCAGCATATATCTTTTTCAATTTTTAAAATGTCAGTATTTTCCTTTCTAGCTATTAATTCAGCTCATACAGTATTTGTTTTTAGCTCACCTGGTACAAAAATGGTTTTGATGCCTGTGAGTTGTGACTTAGCATAATGTCCGTCGTCGAGCAATTCACCGTCTGTGTTGTATTTAGATCTTTTCCCTTTAAGATTAGAAATACCAAGCACATGTTCCAAAACCTTTGTATAAAAATGAACACATACTTTATGTGTGTTAATTAAGCTACAATAACCTGTAAAGGCTGATGAGACCTGAAGTCATGTATTGTAATGTAAAATGTCATCTTTTTATATTTCTTATCGTTTATTAAGTGTAATTCTCATGGATGGTTGTAAAAACATTATAGTTATGTCACAGAATTTTATGGAACAAGTTTTTCTTTTCATTTTGAAAGACACTATTGGTAAAAAAAGAAGAAAAGATGATAATGTGTTGTTTCCTAATTTCATCCTGACTGGAAATCCATGTAAGATTACCTATCCACAGAATAATCATAATGTTTGACCTTTGACCTGTAGTGATCTAAGGCCTCCGAGCTATTTTTATGTTACCATGTATCATTGTCACCGAGATCACACCTTTACAAAAATTCTGTGTAAATTTTACTTAATCAGGAGAGCTTAAGCTTGTTTTACATGTACCTGGTAGCTTGCTTAGATTTATTCTGTTAAGTATGTTAAAATAAATGACCTTGACCCACATTAGTTATCATATGAAAGTTAAATGATATCTAAAATATATTTTTAAAAAAAGGTGAGTGATTAAGGCATGTTGGCCTCTTGTATTGTGATTGTGGTTGTGTTGACTCCCAGATAATGTCGACTGTACAATGTGGGGGTGTATATTAGCATCATCTTGTAGTGTACCCAAGCTCTCAGCGTAACTTTGTTTTGATGTTGTGTGAGAAAGCTTGGTAGCTAGTAGATTTTACATGTTGTGGATTCTATAGTGACAGTTAGTCCATTACTGTAGACAAGTGTCTCCTACAGGGAAAGTCATGCCACATCATACTCTCTATGTCAGGTCAAATCTCAACATTTTATTCTTTTTGCTTCACTTTTGTTTCAGTCTAACTGTTGCTATTACTACTGCTCCCAATGGCCAAGTTAACATTTGTTTTGAAACTCTTGGAAGTGTGTCTTTCAGCACATTTTATCAGAGTGGCAGTAAATTGTCTGCACATTTTTGCAATGTGACTGAGTTTTTCAACACATTTTATCTGTATGACCGTGAATTTGTCAGCATATTTTTGCAAAATGACTGACTTTTTCAGCACATTTTTGCAGCGTGACAGTGAGTTCATCAGCACATTTTTTTCAATGTGACTGAGTTTTTCAGCACATTTTATCAGTGTGGCAGTGAGTTTGTAAGCACATTTTTGCTGTGTGATAGTAAGTTCAAGCTCAGCAAGTCACAGCTAAAACTTTACGCAGTTTTTTCTTCAGTGTTCTTGCCTATCTATCTGCCCTATCCAGCCATTGACTGAAGCCTTTATTAAATTTCTACTAAATCACGTTATTTAATAAATTCTTTATTCCATATTGCGTGCTTTTAATGAAATCTATGCATTGTTGTGACTACAGATTTCTTGTTCAATTTTCTTAGCTTTTGGAATATTTCACACTAGTTCTAAACTTATACACAATCACATAATGAATGTCAATAATTAAGCTGCAGTTGTAAACAGCTAGAAGTAATATTCAGTGCACAGATTATATCTTGTATAGTTGCAATTTCATGTTGAAATCCTGGAAGTATTTCAGATCCCAGACATCAGAAATAAATATCTGTTTCTATGATAACTTCTTATAGGTTCCTGATTTAAGCCCAGACACGTTAAGACTATTACAGTTTCTTATACATATGCAGCAATTTTTGGGAACAACCCAAACAATCATTCATGCCGAATTAAGGGTATTGGATGAAATTTCTGAACATTTAATGACGTCGATTTAAAACGAAAATATTTATTTACCTGAAAGGTTAAAATGTTTAAGACGTAGCATTACAAAAAATGGTGTCAGTTCTATTAAGTTTCTTCCTCTCTATTAAGGATATACTCTAAGCCTTAAAGAACGTGCTCAGGGATAGTAGGAATATCTTTGTCAGTAGTTACTGCTGAAGAGGATCTATTCATTCTTTATTACAAGCTGGGAAAATTCTCAATTACATGTCATTGTAAGAATACAAATATGCAGATTTTACTATTAGGGACATGTTGGAAACAACAGGGCCTACTGCAGGTAAACTGTGTAATGATATGGCACCCAGCCTCACCAGCTTAATTAATAGATTTATAAAACTATTACATTTTAAAAAGGCTGGCATGATCACTTTCTCTTCTAGAGAACATTAAACTTAAACAATTATTCAGGGTAAAAATATAATGCATCATTGTTTTCTGTTTGAAGAACCACGAAACTTAAAGCAATTATTTCTGGCCAAAAAAGATTGTTTCATTGTTTTCTGTACGGGAAGACACTAAACATGGTGTGAATTCAAGGTCATTGTTCATTTAGCAGCAAAGCATTCGGTGTCATTTTCCAGTTAATACATCAAATATTGAGTTCAAGGTCACAGCTAGTGCAGTGTACTGGTAAACAGCACCTACTGAGAGTAAGTCCTTCCTAGTCCATGTCTTTGTGGTCTTCCATAAATTAATAATGTGGTCTTAATGACATCTCTGCTCATTTTCAAATTCATTATGTTTTATATCACAATTGTCACTCAGATGGATTGTTCAAAAGCTCTGTTTCTGTGCTCCTCAATAGGATTGTGTTTTGTATTCATTGAAAGGTTTGTGTCACTGTGCTTGTTAGTGGGTTTGTAAAGTTGTACTCATTGGAAGATTTGTGTCACTGAACTCATTGGTAGGATTGTGTCATGGTGCTTGTTGAAATGTTTGTGTCTCTGTGCTCTTTAGTAGAATAGAGTCACTGCACTCATTGGTAGGATTGTGTCATGGTGCTTGTTGAAATGTGTCTCTGTTAATTGATAGGTTTGTGTCACTGTGCTTGTTGGTAGTAGTGTGTCCGTGCGTTCATTAGGTTTGTGTCAGGGTGCTTATTGAAATGTTTGTGTCATTGCGCTTGTTGGTCAGTTTATGTCACTGTGCTTGTTTGTAGAATTGTGTCACTGTGCTTGTTGGTAGTATTGTGTCTCTGTGTTTGCTGGTAAATTGCTGTAGGTTTGTATCTCTGTGTTTGCTGGTAAATTGCTGTAGGTTTGTGTCTCTGTGTTTGCTGGTAAATTGCTGTAGGTTGTGTCTCTGGTACTGGTAAATTGCTGTAGGTTGTGTCTCTGTGTTTACTGGTAAATTGCTGTAGGTTGTATCTCTGTGTTTGCTGGTAAATTGCTGTAGGTTGTGTCTCTGTGTTTACTGGTAAATTGCTGTAGGTTTGTGTCTCTTTGTTTGCTGGTAAATTGCTGTAGGTTGTATCTCTGTGTTTGCTGGTAAATTGCTGTAGGTTGTGTCTCTGCGTTTACTGGTAAATTGCTGTAGGTTTGTGTCTCTGTGTTTGCTGGTAAATTGCTGTAGGTTGTATCTCTGTGTTTGCTGGTAAATTGCTGTAGGTTTGTGTCTCTGTGTTTACTGGTAAATTGCTGTAGGTTGTATCTCTGTGTTTGCTGGTAAATTGCTGTAGGTTTGTATCTCTGTGTTTGCTGGTAAATTGCTGTAGGTTTGTGTCTCTGTGTTTACTGGTAAATTGCTGTAGGTTTGTGTCTCTGTGTTTACTGGTAAATTGCTTTAGGTTTGTGTCTCTGTGTTTACTGGTAAATTGCTGTAGGTTTGTGTCTCTGTGTTTACTGGTAAACTGCTGTAGGTTCAGATGTCTTTGTATGTCTTGGTATATTGTGGTAAGGTGTCTATCTGTGGTCACTGGTAAATTGGTCCAAATTTGTTATTGCAATAGTATGGGTGTATCAAGCAAGATGTGCAGGCATCTTCCACCCTACATCGCCAAAATACACTCAAGTTTGTATACATATTGAACTAGCATTCATTTTCAGATTTAGATACACTGGTCCACAAGATGTGTAGTACATGTGTGATACTCAGATTTAAGTACACTGGCCCTGGATAAGACTGTCCACAAGATGTGTAGTATAGATATGGTACTCAGATTTAAGTACACTGGCCCTGGATAAGACAGTCCACAAGATGTGTAGTCGTGTATGTTACTCAGATTTAGGTACACTGGCCCTTGATAAGACTGTCCACAAGATGTGTAGTATAGATATGGTACTCAGATTTAAGTACACTGGCCCTGGATAAGACCGACCACAAGATGTGTAGTTGTGTATGTTACTCAGATTTAAGTACACTGGCCCTGGATAAGACTGTCCACAAGATGTGTAGTACAGATATGGTACTCAGATTTAGGTACACTGGCCCTGGATAAGACAGTCCGCATGATGTGTAGTTGTGTATGATACTCAGATTTAAGTACACTAAGGCCCTGGATGATGTGTACACTGGCCCTGGATAAGACAAGATGTGTAGTACAGATATGGTACTCAGATTTAAGTACACTGGCCCTGGATAAGACAAGATGTGTAGTACAGATATGATACTCAGATTTAAGTACACTGGCCCTTGATAAGACTGTCCACAAGATGTGTAGTACAGATATGGTACTCAGATTTAAGTACACTGGCCCTGGATAAGACTGTCCACAAGATGTGTAGTACAGATATGGTACTCAGATTTAAGTACACTGGCCCTTGATAAGACTGTCCACAAGATGTGTAGTATAGATATGGTACTCAGATTTAAGTACACTGGCCCTGGATAGGACAAGATGTGTAGTATAGATATGGTACTCAGATTTAGGTACACTGGCCCTGGATAAGACAGTCCACAAGATGTGTAGTATAGATATGGTACTCAGATTTAAGTACAGTGGCCCTGGATAAGACAGTCCACAAGATGTGTAGTACAGATATGGTACTCAGATTTAGGATACTGGCCCTGGATAAGACAAGATGTGTAGTATAGATATGGTACTCAGATTTAGGTACACTGGCCCTGGATAAGACAAGATGTGTAGTATAGATATGGTACTCAGATTTAGGTACACTGGCCCTGGATAAGACAGATACTGGCCCTGGATAAGACAAGATGTGTAGTACAGATATGGTACTCAGATTTAGGATACTGGCCCTGGATAAGACAAGATGTGTAGTATAGATATGGTACTCAGATTTAGGTACACTGGCCCTGGATAAGACAAGATGTGTAGTACAGATATGGTACTCAGATTTAGGATACTGGCCCTGGATAAGACAAGATGTGTAGTACAGATATGGTACTCAGATTTAGGTACACTGGCCCTGGATAAGACAAGATGTGTAGTACAGATATGGTACTCAGATTTAGGATACTGGCCCTGGATAAGACAAGATGTGTAGTACAGATATGGTACTCAGATTTAGGATACTGGCCCTGGATAAGACAAGATGTGTAGTACAGATATGGTACTCAGATTTAGGATACTGGCCCTGGATAAGACAAGATGTGTAGTATAGATATGGTACTCAGATTTAGGTTTTGTTGAGACAGAAGATTTGTTGTTTTACCTGGTTTTTTATTTGGTCTATTTTTTTCTCTACAGATTGTGGTATTCCCGGTGACCAGCCAGATCCAAACCAATGTATATTTCTGTATTACAGTAAAAAAAAAAAATCTGGGGCATTTAATTCTCCTAGACATTCCTGGAGCAGCCCCATGTGCCAAAAGTGTACCTATGTATTCCGTCCTGAGAGTACGGAAAAACTTCTCATATCATTCGACACATTTTCTTTAGGAAGTTACGAAACATCGTAAGTATTTAACCACATAACCAGCTACCTTAATTCACTTTTATTGTCCTACAACCTACACTGTTTGACCTTGTACTTTTGTTTGACATTCATAAAGATTACTTGTGCAAGAGTTCATATGTCCTTCAGAACAAAGATATTCAAAACTTGATCATGATTATCCACCCAAATTTATATCTTTTCCATAGTAACACCAACAAATGTATTTTTGTTCTGTAATGATCGTCGCAATTCTCTTGAATTAGTAGATTGTTAAATAAATAAACTTTCCCAACAATTATACCTACGTTTTTTACTAGCACATGTGAAAATTCTTTCATTTTTAGTGTACAAACAAAATATAGCTCAATAATTTGCCAAAATTGATTTTAAATAGCTACCATCAATTAACTAATCTTCATGTTAAATAGCTATTATCTGTTTGTCAATCTTCACTTAAAATATCTACCATCAGCTTACCAATATCCATTTCAAATGGCTACCATCAGCTTACCAATATCCATTTCAAATGGCTACCATCAGCTCACCAATATCCATTTCAAATGGCTACCATCAGCTCGCCAATATCCACTTTAAATGGCTTCCATCAGCTCTCCAAATATCCACATTAAATGGCTTCCATCAGGCAGCAAATAATTAACTACACTGATAAAAATTCCATAATGATTAATTGTGAAAGCTTTCTTTCATTGGAAAATATTTTTTTTCTTTCAGATGTTCAGATTATTTGGAAATATTTGTTTTTGTGGGAAATACCAAACAATTACTTAATCGATATTGTGGTCAGCGATATCCTGCACCAATTATTGCACAACAAAACATGGAAATTGTCTACCATGCTAAGGACACGGAAGGCAACTCCAAATTCCAAGCTCATTTTGAGTATTTGAGGAGTAACCAGATGTACACACGTAAGATTTCACATGAGACTTACATCTTATTGCACCAATATTCAATTATATTTACATGTACATAACTGGCTATCAGTGCTGTATATTTGTATGTAGCTTAAATTGTATGTATAATTAAAGTATTCACTGCTAAGGTTTATCCATCATCACTGGATTTTATTTATTTATTTTTTTTTTCAAATTAATCTTCTTTAATTTCCAAGTTTATATTGAAGATTTTTGTGAAATGTCCAGGGTTTAACATCTACTTATTGACATTATCCTAACTTGTTGTTTCAGACTGTGGGCGGAGCATTATTAGTTCAGGAGGAGGAGGCATTTTAAAAAGTCCCCGGTTTCCGGCCAAGTATACAAACAGAGTTTACTGTAAATGGAGTATCCGTGCCAAACGGAAAGGCAACAAGATAATGGTACATTTCTACGATTTTCGATTAGAGGGCAGGACATCTGGTATTGGTTGTAAGTAGTTGTTCATGCTTATCATTTCTAGCATTTTTGTAGAGAAATCTACAATGGAACCATGTTATCTCGAACTCATATAACTCAAGGAACCTGTTTAATTTGAAGGTTTTCCTATGGTCCAGCTAACTTAAAGATAACAAAATTCCATTGTACTTTTTTAGCTGAGCTGTTCAAATCACCTGTGTTCATGGTCTCTTTGTTCATCCATCTGTAAACAGTCACTGTTATCACTTTTGCTTGAGAAGTATTTGATGGACCTTTTTCAAATTTCATATCTATATTTCTCTTGGTCCTTAGTTGTGCCATTTTGGCACTGATCAAAAAACTAAAATGGCTGGCTGGTGGCCATATTGGATTTACACAGGTTCCCTTTGGTTTCTAGTTATGCCCTCTGATTTTGGTACTGATAAGAAGAACAAAATGGCTGACAGGCATCTTGGACTTGACTGTTAATAGATTTAATAATTGCTATTTTTTAACAGGAATTTTCAATTTAAAAAGTAAAATCCGAGTAAAAACATAGAAATGCAGGGAAAAGGTGCTACTTTTAAAGAATAGCTAAATATCAAGCATTGTGATCTCTGTTTGAAGTTTTTGAAGTCACTGTGAAGTTATCATTAAGATAACTTCATAACTATTTAAGATTTCAAGACTTAGCCCAGCCATTTATTGCTGATCATATGATGATTTTATACAAAAAACAATGCAAGACTTGACTACTAATAAAGCTGTTTATTAATAATGTTGAGAAGTCTTCTGTAGCCAAAACAATCTCTTGGGCGTAACTATCTCTTTGGCGTAACGGGGGCTACTCACTCATAAGCAAACTATTGAAAACTTACTTGCGACAAGCTTGACTCTGTGAATCAGAGAAGCGAAGTAAAGTGAACTGTGCTTGACTCCGGAACAGGAGAAATCACTTGACTCTGATGAACAGAGAAGCAACTTGACTCGCTGATGCCAGAGAAGCCAGGAATGATAGGACTAGACTCTGTAAGAGTATAGAGAAGTACTTGACTCTAAGAGACTCTGACGGTTCTAGAGAAGTGACTTGACTCTGACACTGACTCACAGAGCAGCTAGTATAATACAAGGACAAACTTGACTCCAAGGTAACCAATGAGAAGATTCTGAACTCTGAAACGTTACAGAGCAGTGACTTGACTCATGAAAGGACCCTGTTAAGAAGTTTGACCCCAATTTACACACATCTAATATATTAAAATTTTTTGAATGACATGTATGAAACAAGCTAAAAATAAAAAGGAGATTTTAAAATTGGGGGATGAAATTCCTCCGGAATTTAAAAGCCAAAAATGAGCGAGTAAATGAGCTTACGAGTGAGTGCCCCCAATTACATAACAAATATTTTCATACTTTTATGTATTGCAGTTCAATAAAAATATAATACAATGTCCTGTTATAAGCCTGCCCCCTGTCAGCATATATAGAAAGTTGTTGGCCACCTGCCATTATTATAGGATAAAGACAATAGATGATTTTAACTGATTAGCATTATTGTAATCGTAAAGTCAAGAAATAAAGCTTGTTTTTGTTCTCCTTGTTTAGGGGTTGGAGCTGGTATAGGCTGTCAGGATGCAGTGATGAAGTTACATAATGGCTCCAGCTCTCCACCATTAGAACTCTGCGGGACGCTAAATGCTGAAACTACATTTGTATCTGAAGATGACACCATGGAATTAGAGTTAAGTGATGAATCAACACTAAACATTACAAACCAACCAAGTCTGTCTCACTGAGTTGTCCTAAAACCAGAGACTGCCTCTGTAACATCTTTAAGATTTGTCCATTGTGGATAGTAGTCTGATGGTACAGACTAAGTTTACATAAAAATTAACACAAAGGCAGATTTCAATACCGGAGGTCTCTTGGATAGAGATATACCTTTTCTATCAAATCAATTAAGATTACAAAACCACATTTTCTAATTAAATACCTAAATTCTGTTGAAATTTTCACACATAAATGTATACCGGCATTTGAGCTTATTATGTACTTAACAACTGTATTGTAGAAGTCAAGATGTTTCTTTAATAAAATTCTTTATAAACTCTCTTTCAGTTGTTCCTCCGTAAAATTTGCATGTACTGATGATCAATCTTGTGTATTTCAGATTCCTAACATCTGGTAAATCTTTAGGGGGGAAGGGATTTGAAATTAGTTGGACAGAGATCCACTCTGAAGCAGGTGGTGAGTATTCAATTCTTCTGCTCTTACCTTTGTGTTCATTTCCTTCTCCTTTTTTCTGGGTTATGTCTTGTCGTTTGTTTGCCCCAGTCATTTTATTTTGAAGGGTAGTGTTACCCATCCTTGTTCCATCTTGTCCCATTCTGAATCAAAGTCATATTCATATATACCCAATAGTATCATGACATCAAGTTCTACGTATCATATTATTAAGGTGGTCATACGTCAAAGGATCAAAAATCACATTATTAACTTCTACAAATTTATCAAACAATCGTACTCGTATGCATTGAAGTTAGGACATTTATGTAATATAAATATTTTCTGTTTTCTTATGCTATCTGAACATTTTCTTGGCATCATATGGTAACTGCCTTGTCTGTCCATCCTCATATCCAGAGCTTAACTTTGCCTTAAGTTTAGCAAGGACCATGAAACTTTGTGCATATATTGGTCATACTAAGGGGATTTGCAATGTACCAAGTTGAGGGACTCCTAATTTAGAGAGTTACTGACCTTTGTTAAAATTTTGTGTCCATAGCATATCTTCGATTGGAATTAACCTAGGATAACAAAGCTTGGTTTATACATTGAGCATACTAAAACGATGTGCAGTGTTCTTATTCTTGAGAACTAGTCTATAGATCTTTCTCAAATTTCATGCATAGGTTCCTTTAGGTCCCTAGTTGTGCCTGTTTGAGTTTAGGACTGATAAAAAAACAATGGCCGACCAGCAACCATCTTGGATTTTGCCTTGTAAAGATTGCTATTGCTATTTCTTAAGAAGTACTGAATGGATGTCTGTCAAATTTCATATGTATGTTCCCTTTGGTCTCTCCTTGTGCTCATTTGATTTTGGGACGATCAGAAGAAACAAAATGGCTTCCAGGTGGCCATTTGGGATGTGGCAGGTTAAGATATTATTGCTAGTACTACAAAGGAATGTTCAATTGTCTTATCATTACGAGCAAAACCAAAGAAGAGAAAAGAAGGGAAAAGATCCAACTTTAAAAGAGCAAATAAAGATCAAACAATGGTGGGTGCCAAGATCCCTCTTGCATTTCTTGTTGTTCTCTAATGTTCTATAATTTATATTTTGTTTATTCTGGGTCCTTCTATATAGTTCTTTGTCTTTTTCTCTTCTGGTCTCATCATATTGTGTTCCTTTTTTGTCCCTTTCCTTTTTTATATGCCTATCAATGACTGGATGTATTATGGTTATAACCTACATTGTTTGTCTATCTGTCTGTTTGCCTGTCTGTTAACTTTTTCTTGTTAGGGCTCGCTTGTATTTATAGATTGGTTTTAATTAATCTCGCTACAAATATTCCATACCAAAATAGCTATCAGGTCTGCATGGTTTTTTATCAACACTTACTCAAACAAATTGAATTGTGGATGAATCAGATAACTGTTTGTTTGTTTACCTGTCCATCTGTCCATTTATCCATCTAGGAAACCTTGAAAGCACAACACTTTTCACTTTCTCTTGTCTCTGATGATGCAGTAAATGTACTCTGTTATATGTAAATATATGTGAAGGAAGAAAATTTCTTCTTTCCCCAGGAACCTGTTACGGGTTTTTATGCAGCAGATCTAGATTCTGTATCGGAGCTGACATGAAGTGTAATAAAATGAAAAACTGTGGTGGTGGAGACAATTCGGATGAGACAACAGGATGTAAGTATATGTTGTTTATGATATAGTTGGTTTTATTGTTATCAGTGTTAAGATTAGATTTTCTATTTAAAGTGTTCTTACTTAATCTAAACATGTTTCCATGGTGAAGTTAAGTTACATTTGCTTCTGTGAAAATATCGGTGTACATGGTAAATATAAATGGATGGGACAGTCATAAATCCCGGTAATTAAGATGAAGTCTCAGTGGAGACATTCATACACAAATTCTTTTTCTACAACTTCATTCATATTGTATAGAAAATAAGATAACAGTACATTTGAGGTATAAAGTGTGTGGTGTAATGGGTACAAGAGAAGTACACATTTTGTAAATGTTAAATAACAATGTATATGAGATAACAACCAGGTGTGGGGAAAATATTGAACTTTAAAAATAACAGTGTTTTATCTCTGATATGGAAGGGTTTTTCTAATAACAGCGTAATTTCATCAAATATTTTTTCGGTGTTACTACATAGCAGCAAACTATGGAAAGCAACCAATCTTCAGAAATATAATTGACTCTGAGAGAGACACACAATAGGGATATTAACTTTGAGATAGGCAGGATATTGAAATAGACAGGATATGAACTTTGAGACTGACAGGATACTGACATTGAGATAAATGGTCATAGAGAGGATATGAACTTTAAGGGTCAGACAAGATGTTGATTGAATATTGATTTTAAGGAATATTTTGAGTTATGAAAAATATAAGATAGAGACTTTGTCACAGGTAAAGATGTTGAGATAGAGACAGGTACTGATGCTGAGATAGAGACAGTTGTGATGTTGAGATAGAGACAGGTACTGATGCTGAGATAGGAACAAGTACTGATGCTGAGATAGATACAGATACTGATGATGAGATTGAGACAGGTACTGATGTTGAGATAGAGACAGGTATTGATGTTGAGATAGAGACAGGTACTTATGTTGAGATAGAAACAGGTACTGATGTTGAGATAGAGACAGGAACTTATGTTGAGATAGAGACGGGTACTGATGTTGAGAAAGAGGCAGGTACTGATGCTGAGATAGAGACAGGTACTGATGCTGAGATAGACAGATACTGATGCTCAGATAGAGACAGGTACTGATGATGAAATCGAGACATGTACAGATGTTTAGATGGAGACATGTACTGATGTTGAGATAGAGACAGGTATTGATGTTGAGATAGAGACAGGTACTTATGTTGAGATAGAAACAGGTACTGATGTTGAGATAGAGACAGGAACTTATGTTGAGATAGAGACATGTACTGATGTTGAGAAAGAGACAGGTACTGATGCTGAGATAGAGACAGGTACTGATGCTGAGATAGACAGATATTGATGCTCAGATAGAGACAGGTACTGATGATGAAATCGAGACATGTACAGATGTTTAGATGGAGACAGGTACTGATGTTGAGATAGAGACATGTACTGATGTTTAGATGGAGACAGGTACTGATGCTCAGATAGAGACAAGTACTGATGTTGAGATAGAGACAGGTACTGATGTTGAGATAGGGACAGGTACTGATGCTCAGATAGAGACAGGTACTGATGATGAAATAGAGACATGTACTGATGCTCAGATAGAGAGATGTTCTGATGTTGAGATAGAGACAGGTACTGATGCTGAGATAGAGACAGGTATTGATGATGAAATAGAGACATGTACTGATGTTTAGATGGAGACAGGTACTGATATTGAGATAGAGACAGGTACTGATGTTGAGATAGAGACAGGTACTGATGTTGAAATAAAGACAGTTGTGATGTTGAGATAGGGACAGGTACTGATGCTGTGATAGGAACAGGTACTGATGCTGTGATAGGAACAGGTACTGATGCTTAGATAGAGACAGGAACTGATGTTGAGATAGAGACAGGTACTGATGTTGAAATAGAGACAGGTACTGATGCTGAAATAGAGACAGGTACTAATGTTGAGAAAGAGACGGGTACTGATGCTGAGATAGAGACAGTTACTGATGCTGAGATAGAGACAGGTACTGATGCTGAGATAGACAGGTAATGATGCTGAGATAGAGACAGGTTCTGATGCTCAGATAGAGACAGGTGCTGATGCTGAGATAGAGACAGGTACTGATATTGAGATAGAGACAGGTACTGATGTTGAGATAGAGACAGGTACTGATGCTGAGATAGAGACAGGTACTGATGCTGAGATAGAGACAGGTACTGATGATGAAATAGAGACATGTACTGATGTTTAGATGGAGACAGGTACTGATATTGAGATAGAGAAAGGTACTGATGTTGAGATAGAGACAGGTGCTGATGTTGAAATAAAGACAGTTGTGATGTTGAGATAGGGACAGGTACTGATGCTGTGATAGGAACAGGTACTGATGCTGTGATAGGAACAGGTACTGATGCTTAGATAGAGACAGGAACTGATGTTGAGATAGAGATAGGTACTGATGTTGAAATAGAGACAGGTACTGATGCTGAAATAGAGACAGGTACTGATGTTGAGAAAGAGACGGGTACTGATGCTGAGATAGAGACAGTTACTGATGCTGAGATAGAGACAGGTACTGATTCTGAGATAGACAGGTAATGATGCTGAGATAGAGACAGGTTCTGATGCTCAGATAGAGACAGGTGCTGATGCTGAGATAGGGACAGGTACTGATGTTGAGAAAGAGACAGGTACTGATGCTGAGATAGGGACAGGTACTGATGCTGAGATAGTGACAGGTACTGATGCTCAGATAGAGACAGGTTCTGATGTTGAGATAGAGACAGGTACTGATGTTGAGATAGAGACAGGTACTGATGTTGAGATAGAGACAGGAACTTATGTTGAGATAGAGACATGTACTGATGTTGAGAAAGAGACAGGTACTGATGCTGAGATAGAGACAGGTACTTATGTTGAGATAGAAACAGGTACTGATGTTGAGATAGAGACAGGTGCTGATGTTGAGATAGAGACAGGTACTGATGCTGAGATAGTGACAGGTACTGATGCTCAGATAGAGACAGGTACTGATGCTGAAATAGAGACAGGTACTGATGTTGAGAAAGAGACAGGTACTGATGCTGAGATAGTGACAGGTACTGATGCTCAGATAGAGACAGGTTATGATGTTGAGATAGAGACAGGTGCTGATGTTGAGATAGAGACAGGTACTGATGTTGAGATAGTGACAGGTACTGATGCTCAGATATAGACAGGTTCTGATGTTGAGATAGAGACAGGTACTGATGTTGAGATAGAGACAGGAACTTATGTTGAGATAGAGACAGGTACTGATGTTGAGAAAGAGACAGGTACTGATGCTGAGATAGTGACAGGTACTGATGCTCAGATAGAGACAGGTTCTGATGTTGAGATAGAGACAGGTACTGATGTTGATAGATCAAGATTGGCTATGATGTTTAGGCAGGATATTATGATAACATTTTGATTGATAGACAAAATATCTTTTGGAGTGAACAGATATTGACATGGAACAAGACAGGATGCTGGAAACAAGATGTGCAGAAAATGAGAATATAAAAAATATTTGTATATCTACAATTTTCCAGTTCTGAGACACAATTTATTCTCATAATGAAGAGATGAGATTTCATCGCTACATTCTAGTGATCCATTCTGAAAAGATTTAGAAATCTTGTTTGACAAGGGAATTAGTCTGTATGCTTTCCATTTAACCATATACTCTGTAATACAGATTAAAAAGTAAGTTTTTAAAAAATTGTGCATGTATATTTAAAATTTCTGCTGCATTGGAAGTCTGGTTTACAAGGAAGCAGTACAACTGTAGAATGTTTTGACATTAGCCTGTGTAATTGAATTGATGGAGCGATCATACTGCCTGTCCAGTTCTTAATCTCCAGCATTTCTCATATCTCACCAGGCGCTGGCAGAATCTTCACATGTTCACTATAATCATATTTCACATAAATCATTTACAGTTCTACAGGAAACAGTCTTGTCCAATTTTCCAATATCATTCTTTAATCAAACCTAATGTATGTTTAGGTTTCATAAATTCAGTTATGATCAAGACAAATTAAGTTGATGTTTCCTGATCATATTTTTTGTTTATTAATTAGATTTATGAAATTACAAACAAGAAATGATTTAATAAATACTATGAAACATAAACGTAGCCGTTAAAGGCTTTTTTCTATCTTGTAGCAGAACATCTCTAAAACCAGTTTTATATGATGTGGTGAATTTTTGATAAACAGTTAGAAACATACATATAATTCATGACAGGTATATAGTATAGACCTTGGTTTGATATTAAGCAGTCTGTGATTAGCTGAATTTTCACTAAAGATTCTATGGTTTTTACATAGAACTAATGGAGTGACTATGATGAGTGGGAAAATAATTGCAAATTCTACGATGCAGTAGCTCTTTGTACAACTTTCTTAATGATGGGGTGAACTAATTTTGAGTGTAAAAGGATGTTTTAGAAGTTATTGCCCACTTTTTCAGCATTTTAATCTTATTCTGAGGTATCATAGTTTTCAGCTCTTTAGAACATGCCAGAGATAATTATCCTGACTCACAGTTTAGTACAATCTATATTCAATGGGTTAATCAATTTTGTTTTAATGACTTTTGAAAGAGTTACTGCACAACTGTTTAGAGTACCAGAAATCTACAGGAACCAGAAGTATACTTATCCTTTATCACGTTACATAAGACAGTCCGCTATTTGAGGGGACATTGTTAGACAGACATTGGTCTAGTCCCCAGGGACAGAGTTATTGACTTGAAATAAAAAATGCAGACATTTGCGTAGCCCCTGAGAGGGAGGGATAGCAACGCTGATAGCATATGTAATGTGTAGATGTTGAACTGGTCCTTGTGGGAAAAACAGTCTTGACAGGAAAAGCTACAGGTAATATGTATTACACAGACAGCTTACTTCATCAACATCTATTGATTACTATGATAACATGAGGAAAATTGGAAATGGTACGTGGATCCCACGAGAAATGAGAGAACAATATATTT